TTCTCTATCTCTTATTCTCTTTCTTTTCTCATTCTTACCCCTTTCATGATCTCTCATCTCATGCTCTCTCTCTCTTTCTCCCTCTGTCTTCCGCTCTCCTACTTTCTTTCTCCACAACTTTTGCTACTACCTCTTGTGGCTTGATAGGAAGGCCATCTGGTCTACCAGCTTCTTTGGCAAAGTGAGGGTGAGTTTCCAGAGTTGCCATCTGCCTGTTACAAGATGAAGCAAAACCTTCAGAGACTCCTCTTCCCTCTCAATGACCACCACTTTTCTCCTGAGGGTTTCCTTTCCTCCCTCTTCAGCCTCTCTCATCCTTATCCAAGGTTGAAGGAACTATGGATGTTTAGGTTAGACAAAAGAAAACTCATGGAGGACATGATCTGTTTTCAAGAATTGGGTGGTGCTCATGTGGGAGAGGGCTTGGATTTGGTCCCTTTGGTAGGAGCAATGTGGACATGTTCTGAAGGGGTAGATTTAGGTCAGGTGTTAGGAAAACACTTCCAAACAAGAACTGTCCAGAAGTGCAATGGGGTGCCTCAGGAGGTGGGCTGTTCTTTCTCATTAGAGGTCTACAAAAGAAGGCTGTGGCTGCTTGTTGTATGTGTAGTGGTGGGGATTCTTTTCAAACATGGGTTGGCCGAGATGGTGTCTGAGGTCCCATCCAACTCAAAAATGCTGTGATGTCCATACACACCTCAGTGCGGGCACTCATTATACCCCCTATTTACTCTTCCTTTTAATGGGGAGGTGTGCCATGTATACTGATAAGTAACATACGATCATTTGAAAAGACAGTACTAATGAATGGAGTATAAAACACGTTCAGGGGAGTAGCACAAAACAAGAAGAAACTAATGGGTCAGGGGGTCAAGGCTTTAAATGCCAGGCCAGAGAGGGACCTTGAATTTAATAGGGAGCCACTGCGGACCCATGAGCCAGAAAGTGTGGGAAGGAAGCCAGCAGAAGCTCCCTCCGGGGCCACTCTGGGTGCAGAGGCCTTGGGTAATCCCGTTTTGCTCTCTCCTCCTCTCCTCTGGCTCCCATCTTCCCATCCTCACAGCCCTGGAGGCCCTGAGGCACGACCCAGAAGCATCAGTGTGCATCTTTGCAGCCCAAGCCCAGGACCACGTCTTAGCCAGTTGCTGGCGGAACTCCTGGTCCCTTCCCCGGGGAGACGCTTGGGTCTGCGACCCGGCCACCAACCACCGATGGAACTCCAGCAAAGAGAACCTCCCTGTCAGCCATCACCGCAGGTCCTCGATCTTGGACCCGCTGAGGGCCTGGAAGAAGAGTTTAAAGTAGCCCTCGGCAGCTGCCTAGCCTGCCTCCTGGCACTATAAATGCTAGATTGGTTAGTTAGTGTTCGCGTGTTCTTGGGAAAGGAGGGAGGAGGCCCTCGTTCTTGTGCCCGCGGTGCCACAGACTCACATTCTACTGGGGGACGAAATGTGCACACATGAAGAGAAAGTCTAAAACTACACGAAGTATAAAGAAATTTGGGGAGCAGGGGTCACTGCCAGCTTGGGAGGGGGTTACATCAGGAAAGATATCATGCTGCGAAGTAAATTAGTGCAGAAAAGTGAGGACAGTCTTGGAGAGCATGGGTGGTGAGGCACACATCGGGACCTTGTGCCCAAGGCAAAGCCTACTCAACACGGTCCTTAAGTACTCCGTGCCTCAGTTTCCCCTTCTGTAAGATGCGACTAATTGACCTCGGAGGTTCACAGTATTCGAGCGCTGAAAGGGACCTTAGAAGCCATCCAATCCTCATTTTACAGAAAGGGAAACTGAGGCCCAGGGAAGTGAAGTGACTGGCCCAAGGTCACAGGGGTAATAAGTGTCGGAGGTGGGACCTGAACCCAAGTCCGAGCCAGGGCTCTCTGCACTTTCCACTCCCTAAGACTACGATCCCAGTCTTCATCCTCCTCCCCTCCGCATCTCCGGCCCAAGCCGGGCCAGGCCGTCCGTGGGCGGAACTCGAGGGCGGGGCCCACGGGACCCTACGGCACCGGAAGTGGGGACCGAAGTCGACACGGACCGGCCGAGTGAGGGCGGAAGTCGGGGAGGCCGGCGCGGCCACCGAGCCGGAGCGCAGATGGAGGCGCGGCAGCCGGGGAGCCCGGGCCTGGGCGAGGGGCCGGGGCCGGGGCCGGGGGAGGACGACGCCATGGACGCCTTCCTGGACAAGTTCCGCAGCCAGCAGTACCGGGGCCGCCTGCACGAGGACACGTGGGAGCAGGTGCGGCCGCGGGGGGGCGGGGCCTCAGTTTACCCCTCCATCCCACGGGTCGGGGCCCGGCTGGTCTTGCCCATTGGACAGATAGGGAAGCCGAGGCAGGCAGAGGGAGGGGATCCCCGATGGAAACAACCGCGGCCGCCGTGTCCGTCGCAAGGGACGGTTTGCGAGGCGCTCCCCTCCCCCAGGAGGGAGGAGGGGCTGTAACCACCCCCATTTTACAGATGACGAAACTGAGGCCGAGGGAGCTTCCGTGACCGGGGTCCGAGGCAGGATTCGAACCTCGCACGTCCGACTCCCAGGTCTAGGACTCCTGGACCACCTGGGACCCCCCAGCAAGTAAATGCGGGCCAGGGTTTGGTTCCAACCCTGCTCCACCCTGCCCTCGTCCAGAGCCCCTCCTCCTCATGCGAACAAAGCTTTCTGCGCACAGTAGGCGCTTAGCAAATGAATCCTGAAATTGGCTCATCCTTCTTCCCTCTAGAGGCAGCTGGGTCTGGAGTCAGGAAGACCCGAGTTCAAATCCAGCCTCAGACACTCACTTCCTAGCAGGGCGACGTTGGGCGAGTCATTTGCCTCTGTCTGCCTCGGTTTCCCCATCTGTAAAATGGAGGTGATAATACCACCTACATCACAGGGTTGTTATGAGGGTCAAATGAGATAATACTTACAAAACACTTAGCACAGTGCCTGGCACATGGCAGGCCCTCTGTAAATGTTAGTTATTATTATTAGCTATTATTTCTGCTTGCCCGTGAGAAGCATGCCCCCTTGCTTGGTGATCTCCCTGGTTCACAAAGTGATGCCTCCGACTGATCCTGACCCAAGCCGATGTCAGCCATGACTCCTTAATAATCAGACCCAGCCCAAGCCCCTCCTAGGTGGACTGAGCTGCCTTGGGAGATGGGGGTTTGGAGGACAAAGGCTAGACCCTCTCTGGACACATTGTGGGAAGGAGGCTCCTTTGAGCCCCCATCAAGGTCTCTCTGAAAGGTGTAGGGTTTCAGTCCTTGGAACACAAGGTAGGGTATAGGTAAATATTTAACAACTGGCTTTCAAAAAATGTAATGACCTGACACATTTTAAAGTTTAATCTGCATTATTAAGATTTTCTCTACCCCTTTCTTAAGTCTAGACAATTAACAAAACAATAAATGAAGCCTTGATTTGTAATGGTTGCTAAATACCCAGGTATACATGCTCATGCTGAAAATTTAACAATTGGCTCAGGAGCCATTCTGAGCTGGCTCCAGCAGACCCCTGGGTGTGGTAAATGTTGAGTCTTGGCCCCTTGCTTGAGGCCTGGGTAAATGATTTGTGGATTTCTAACTTTAAAAGTCAAAGTCAGACAGAAGTTTTGATGGACCTCTTTGGGACTGGCCAGGCTTCAGTTGGGAATGGAGAAAAGTTCTGTTCACACTTTTCATAGCCTCGAGGAGCAAGGAGGGCCTCCCAGGACATCTGTCCAAAGAATACAAGTCTGCCAGGAGCCCTCTGTTATTCCCCTCACTGGTGCTGCCCCCACTGTTTTTGAACTCATCCTTTTTGTCTGTGACCTCATCTGCCCCTCGAAGATCTCGGACTATCCGTGTGTGCCCAGCACAGGACCTAGCACGTTGTTAGTGCTTGTGGATTGACTGATTGATTGACCATCCATATATAGGAAGCCTCTTAGAATAATATTTTTCTTAGTTGAGACAAAGCTCTGAGATGAGGACTTTGCATTTTAAAACTGACTTCTATGTGTTTCTTCCCTTCATTGATTTCTTCCAGGAGTTGGATAAGATCCCGATGTTCATGAAGGAAGCCCCGTCGGAAATCAATCCCCAAGAAAATCCCGATTTGGCTTGTCTGCAGTCCCTCATTTTTGATGACGAGAGACCCCCGGAAGGTGCAGGAAATGTGGTGGCTGGGGTGGGGGCCCTGGACGGGTCACCACGTGAGTGCTGGGAGACCTGGCCCGTTTTTCTGATTGGTTAAAAATCTGAATGATAGGGTTGATATCAGCTCCGTCACTGGGCTGCTGGGTGGCACTCCCCTCGTTGTGGGGTGATGGATTTGGAGGTGGAGGGCCTCACGTCTCAGCTCTGCCCAGTCCATCGCTCCGTGCCTCCCTTTCCTCGGCTGTCCAGTGGGTGATTGAGGAAGTTCCCTTCCAGCTTGAAATCTGTGATTCTGTAATATAGGTGAAAGCACTTTATAATCAGAAAGTGCTATGAGAAAATAAGGAATCACAAGTATCACAATTTGTGTAAAATTTGTTTAAAAACTGAGACCACTGTCAGCTTTTGTCTTTGGCACGTAGTAGGGGCTTCATAAACGAAGGTGCCCAGGTGGCGCCTGGTCCCTGCAAGGCCTCGGGGAGGGAGGATGGACACAAACGCTTGTCGTCCTTCCACAGAGCAGGCCAAGACCTACAAGGATGAAGGCAACGATTACTTCAAGGATAGAGACTACAAGAAAGCGGTGGCTGCGTACACAGAAGGGCTCAGTAAGAAGTGCTCGGACCCCACTCTCAGTGCCGTGCTTCTGACCAACCGTGCAGCAGCGCAGTATCACCTGGGTGAGCCGGCTGCTCAGATCTTCCTGTCTGGAGGCCAGGGTGGGGCAGGATTGGGCCCAAGGCTTGTACAGGAGCACCTCGCGTGTGGGGGTGTGCTGTGACCACGTAGGGGGATTGCAAGGGGTGAGGCGTCTGCTCGGGCCCTCCTGTCTGGAGGCCAGGGTGGGCGGGATCGGGCCCAAGGCTGCTCCGTGTGCCCCTCGTGTGTGCTGTGACCATGCCAAGGGATTGCAGGGAGTGAGGGAGCATCTGTGAGCCCGGAGGGGTCTCTGACTGCCTGGCCCAGCCCGTCCCCACCCAGAAAGGCCAGGATCTCCTTCCCGTTCCACACTGAACGATGCTGATCCATGCGTTGCATGTTAGGGACTCTTGGGACCCTCGGCCAAAGCTGCAAGGACCATCTGGTTTTATAAATGGGAAATCTGATGCCCAGGGAGGCGGTGTGCCCGAGGTGCCCGAGGCGATAGCATTGGCCCTTCCGGCGGAGATTTGCTGGGGCTCCACAGACCTGTGGCTGCCCCTCAGACACAGACTGTCTGGGCGAGGTGCCTCAGTTTCCCCACCTGTAACCTGGAGCTCACGGCAGCCCATCCCTCCCAGGGTTGTTGTGAGGGCTGGGTGATTCAATCTAGTGAGGCATTTTCTGACCCTTTATAGCCGCCGGTCACTTTAGCTGTTGGTGCTCTGTCCCAGGCAACCGGCTGCTTTGGCCACCTCCGGGGCCCCATCCCTGTCCTTGACTTGACTTGCTTTAGAAATTCAAGCAGAATGAGTTTGTGATTGACAGGTGGCCGCTCTCCTCCTCTTGGTTGTTAGGTAACCTGCGCTCTGCTCTGAATGACGCCACGGCGGCCAGGAAGCTCAGGCCGAGCCACCTCAAAGCCATCGTCAGAGGTGAGCCTCCTCCCCGCCCAGCGGAAGGAGACGTCTCCCCTGCCACGCACACGCACGCGAGCACACACGCACGCACGCACTCACGCGCACACACGCACACACACAAAATCCTTTAGCTGTCGTGGAGCTGGGGCATTGAAGGGGGGCCTTGGTTTTGGAGGGTTGATGGTCATCGAGAGGCTCATAGATACAGAGCTGAGGGTGCTCGGGCCCTGGAGTCCGACCCCCTCATTTTACAGGGGTGACTTACCCAAGGTCACACTGCTGGTGAGAATTAGAGGTAGGATCAGAACCCAGGTACTCAGGCTCCAGGTTGAGGTCCGCCATGTTGTTTTAGGTGCCCTGTAGGGCATGGAGAGGACTAGGGGCATCGGAAGCCCTTCTCTCGAAGCCTGGGCCTGGAGGGTCGGACCAGAAGGGCTTAGAATCCTCAGGGGGTGTCGTGCCCATGGCAGCAGGGAGCTCCTGGGTCACAGGGACCCCAAAGTCCTGTCTACTCAAGCCTTTTGTGGGGGGTCAGTCTACACTGGTGCAGCAACCCGTGAGAACTCAGGGAAGAGAAAGGGAGGGAGGAGAATGAGGAAAACAGAAGGAGGAAGGGAGACAGAGAGAGAAGAGACAGATGGAGAAAGCAGGGAAAGAGAGAAACGGAGAAAGATGAGAGTGGTGGGGAAGAGGAGGAGAGAGAGAGGATGAGGGAAGGAGGCCAGCAAGGGGTGCACAAGAAACATTGCTCCAGAGCCGGGAAGACGTGGGTTCAGGTCCTGCCTCTGAAGTATGGGCAAGTACTTCACCCTCTGCATCCGTATAGTGTTTAAAGGCTTGCAAAACAACATTACAGTAACCCTGAAAAGGAGGTGCTGGGGTTATCTCCATTTGACAGATGAGGAAACTGAGGCAGACAGAGGTGAAATGACTTGCCCAGGGTCACCTTGCTAGTAAATGTCTGAGGTAGGATTTGAACTGGGAGCTTCCTGACTCCAGGCCCAGGGCACCTTCTCTAAATTTCCCTGATTTCCAGGGTCCCTCCCAGCTCTGAATATTGAGACAGTGAGTTCATTCTGCTAAGGAGGCCTTGCGAGTGCAGTAGAAAGAAGGCTGAGGCAGTGAGAGGACCTGAGTTCAAATCTAGCACCATCACCTGCTGCCTCAGGCAAGTCACTTAACCTCTTTGAGCCTCAGTTTCCTCTCCTGTAAAATGGGCAGGGGGTGGGCTTCATAGCCTCTGAGATGCCTGCCGGCTCTAAATCTCTGATCCAGCAAAACACTCATTTTAAAAAAGATTCCCCAAAGTGCAAACTAATTCCTTTTATCTCAGGATTTTATGCTGAAATTGAAAACTCTTCTTTTAAATGTAATTACGGCTGCACCAACAGCCACACATCCTTGGTTATTTTGCATTAACTGATCAAAAGGCAAGAGTTTTCAAATGCGCCGCTTGTGTTAATTGAAAGATGAGGGATCCCACCTTTGGGGGCAGATTGGGCCTTTCCAGGCTCCTGCAACTTCCCCCTTCTGTCAGCCGAAGACCCTTCTGTGCAGTGATGTTTTTAATAATTTTTTTGCTCAAATTGCACTTTTTCTTTGAGAGGCTTAAAGATTCTTTGGAGGTTGTAATGTATTCATCAGATGTTAATTTCTCTGCCACCCCGGGGTTGGTTTGAAGTGTGTGGCAGCAGGTGCTGGGCGGACTCCCCAGGTCTCTGTCTCTTCTCTGTTTCCTGGACAAACAAGGATTAGGGAGGTCTGAGGGTAGGAGACTCTGAGAGGGAGGCCCACAGCAGAGCAAAACCACAGGTTTCTGGTGGTGGGGCAGGGCAGGCATCGCGAGCTGGTGGCTAGAAAGCAGGGCCGGGAAAGCCCTGGATGCCCTTGGTGGGAGTCTGGGCATCCCAGAGGGCAGCTGCTAGGCCTCAGTTCCCTGGACAGGGATAAATTACAGAGAAGTCTCCATCCGTCGCCTGGGTGGTGTGCAGGAGGACGTTGTCATGATCGTCAGAAGAACAGCTGGCCTCCAAAGGCTAGTGTTTTCTTCAGCCTCTCGACAGCCCCGTTTTACAGATGAGAAAGCCGAGGCCCAGGGGGTTAAGTGACTTGGCCTTTGCCAAGCAGCTTATGAGTGTCAGAGGTTGGATTTTAGCCCAGTGTATCCCCCCTCTGCCCAGGTCTCTCCCTGACCCCTCCCTGCCTTCAGCAAACGCAGGTAAAGTCAGCAAACATGTCTTAAGCTCTGAGATGGATGGACGAATGAATGAATAAATACATAGGTAGATACCCAAATGAATAAATAAAAACACATTTGTCAGAGCTTTCTGCGGGCTTAGCGTCGTGTGAGGCTTGGGGATACCGATGCAGAAAGCTGGATGGTCCTGCCCCTGCTGGGTGTCCCCTCTGGGAGGGAAAGCCCCAGCACCTGGGGGAGGGCCTCGGCATTCTGGGGAGGGCCCTGGTGTCTCAGGGAGGGCCCCAGCACATGGGGAGGACCCCAGCACCTGGGGAAGGGCCCCAGCGTCTCAGGGAGGGCCCCAGCATCCTGGGGAGGGTCCTGGTGTCTCGGGGAGGGCGCCTGGTGTCTTGGGGAGGGCACCTGGTGTCTTGGGGAGGGCCCCGGCACCTAGGGAAGGGCCCCAGCGTCCTGGGGAGGGCCCTGGTGTCTCAGGGAGGGTCCCAGCACCTGGGGAAGGGCCCCAGCGTCCTGGGGAGGGCCCTGGTGTCTCAGGGAGGGTCCCAGCACCTGGGGAAGGGCCCCAGCGTCCCAGGGATGGTGCCCGAGGCCTGGGCTGTTGAGCTCTTCCTCTCAGCCTTCACTCCATTCCCTTTCTGTCTTTGACAAACAGTCACATTCACACGCATTTCTATGCTCCTGTGATGCTCTGGAGACGCAGGGGTGTCGGGTGCTAGCAGACGGTGCTTGACAAATCCATTGGGCCGAGTTCTTCTTTCTCTTTTTCTACAGTAGCTAATGATAACTACTAACATTTATCCAGAGCAAACATATATACATCTAACCCTATGAAGTAGGGGCTGTTATTATCCCCATTTTACAAATGAGGGAACTGAGGCAGGCAGAGGTGAATGGTTTGCCGCACTAGGAAGTGTCAGAGGCAGGATTCAAGCTCAGGGCTTCCTGACAGCAGACCTGGCGCTCTCTCCCCTGCACCACCCCGCTGCCTCAGAATTAACATCAGAAATGGGTTAGACATTTGAGACAGTGCAGACACAGGAGTGAAATTACGTGGGCCCCAGCCTCTGGGAGCTCACAGTCTTGAGGTAACATAAAGTAGAAGGTAATGAGGAATGGTAGAAGGGACAGCTTGGAGGGACCCCAAAGGTGGCCTGGTTCACCCCCCTGGTGTGGACCCCACAGCCCAGCCTCCAGACCCCTGGTCCAGGGTTCTTCCCTCCTCGATTGTGGATTCTCATTATTCCCTAGGGACAGGCTCTTTCTGAGTCCTTCAGTTCCAAAGGATTCTAAAGCCCCTGGGTCCCCACAGGTGCGATCTGTCATCTAGAACTGAGAAACTTCTCGGAGGCGGTGAGCTGGTGTGACGAGGGCCTGAGGCTGGACTCCAAGGAGAGGAAGCTTCTGGAAATAAGGGCCAAGGCGGACAAGCTGAAGGTTGGTAGCCACATGGACAGGGTGACCATGGCCTGAGGGCACATCCTGGCCTCTGTGACTCAGGGCAGGCCCTCCACCCATCGGTGCCCTACAGAGCCTTAGCGGACGGCAGAGATGGTGCTGATCCGCCAGAAAAGAAAAAACATTCAATAAAAACCAATCCTAGGATCCCAGGTCGAGAGTGACAAGGGGTGGTAGGGTCCCCCCCATTTTAGAGATGCCCATCCCAGCCCCCTCTAATGCTGCTGCCTTCCCTCTGTTAATTATCTCCAGTTATCTCCACTATTCCGTCTATACCATGAAGTACATTTATAAAATGCTCAGTTTGCTCATCTGTAAAATGGGGATAATAATAGCACTGACCTCCCAGAGTCCTTTGGGGCTCAAATGATATAGTAATTATAAAGTGCTTAGCCCAGTACCTGGCATAGAGTACGGGGTATATAAATGTTATTTATTGTTATTATTGTGTCATTGTTATTAATTATCCTCATAATAATAGCGCTGAGCTCCCAGAGTTGTGAGGATCAAATAAGGTAACATCTAAAAGCGCTTTGCAAACCTTCAAGTGCTTCATAAACATCAGCTGTTACTGGTGTTACTTCAGCTCTGAGTCTGTCGTGAACTCTTCAAACACTTTAGAAAACATTCACAAAAGAGGTAACGTGTTGAACAACAAAAAAGGAAAAGTCAAACCCTTATCACAAATCTTCCTGCTGAATTTTGACATGGGTGGAGCCGATTTTACCTCCTTTCTCTGGCACAAGATGTACCTTGTTCAGAGTCACTCGTCTGTTAGATGAAATGGGGGTCAAAGGGAAGGGAACAAGCATTATATAGCACCTACTATGTGCTGGACACTGTGCTTAAGCGCTTTTTACAAATAGTAGGGCATGAAGAGAGACGCCTGTGTGGGAATCCTCACAGCAGTGGAGATGGACTAGGGAGCATTGAAAAGGAAATAGAAACAGAAAACAGGAGGTTGTGGGAGTGTGCTACAGACTGCCCTGCAGGTGGAGGATATGGATGATGCCATGGTGAGGGCAGCCTTCAGCATTGCGGACGCTCATTGGCCTTCTCCTTCCCCCAGAAGCAGAGCTTCTGATGAAGGTGTTCTCCCCCATTCTAGCAGCTGGTCATTTCTTTTTCTTTTCTTTCTTTTTTTTTTAATGGTAATTTTTTTATTTATTTTCTTTGTTTTCAACATTTACTTCCACAAGATTTTGAGTTCCAAATTTTCACCCCATCTCACCCCTCCCCCCACCCCAAGATGGCATGCATTCTAAATACCCCTTCCCTCAGTCTGCCTTCCCTTCTATCTCTCCCCCCCTTCTCTTAACCCCTTCTTCAATTTTCCTGTAGGGCAGGATGGATTTCTGTACCCCATTTCCTGTATTTCTTATTTCCCAGTTACATGTGAAAATATTTTCTTTTTAAACATGTGTTTTTAAAACTTTGGGTTCCAAATTTTCTCCCTTCCTCCCTCCCTGCCTACCCTCATTGAAAAGGCAAGCAACTCAATATAGGTTATACATGTGCAGTCATGCAAAACACTTCCATAGTAGACATGCTGTGAAAAACTAACTCTATTTCCCTTAATCCTATCCCGCCCACCCATATATTCTATTCTTTCTTTTGACCCTGACCCTCCTCAGAAGTATTTGCTTCTGATTACTCCCTTTCCCAATCTGCCCTCCTCTCTATCATTCCCCTACTCTCTTGTCCCCTTCCCCTCCTATTTTCCTGTAGGGTAAGACAGATTTCCACACTCAATTGAGTGTGTATGTTATTCCCTCCTTAAGTCAAATCCTATGAGAATAAGATTCACTCATTCCCTCTCACCTTCCCCTGTTTCCCCTCCACCGTAAGAGCCTTTTCTTTCTGGGTTGTTTTTTTTTTTTTTGTGGCATAATTTACCCCGTTCTACCTCTCCCTTTCTCCTTCTCCTAGTATATTCCTCTCTCACCCCTTAATTTTATTCTCCAGATATGACCCCTTCATTTTCAACTCACCCTGTGCCCTCTATCTATCTATATCTATATATATGCACATATAATTTTTTCCCCTCCAACTATCCTAATACTGACAAAGGTCTCATGAGTTACAAGTATCATCTTTCCATGCAGGAATGTAAACAGTTCAACCTTAATAAATCTCTTATGATTTTCTCTTTCCTGTTTACCTCTTCATGTTCCATTCAAGTCTTGTATTTGAAAATCAAATTTTCTATTCAACTCTGGTCTTTTCATCAGGAATGCTTGAAAGTCCTCTATTTCACTGAATGACCATTTTTTCCCCTGCAGGATTATACTCAGTTTTGCTGGGTAGGTGATTCTTGGTTGTAATCCTGTCTCCTTTGCCTTCCGGAATATTATATTCCATGCCCTGCGGTTCCTTAATGTAGAAGCAGCTAAATCTTGTGTTATCCTGATTGTGTTTCCACAATACTTGAATTGCTTTTTTCTGGCTGCTTGTAATATTTTCTCCTTGACCTGGGAACTCTGGAATTTGGCTACAATATTCCTAGGAGTTTTCCTTTGGGGATCCCTTTCAGTAGGAGATTGGTGGATTCTTTCAATTCCTATTTTGCCCTCTGGTTCTAAAATATCAGGGCAGTTTTCCTGGATAATTTCTTCAGTATTTTTGGGGTCTCCTTTAGCAAGCTGTTAACTTGCTTTTCATGATTTTCTTGCGTCACTCTCATTTCTCTTCCCAGTTTTTCCTCTATTTCTCTTACTTGCTTCTCAAAATCCCTTTTGAGCTCTTCCAAGGCCTGGGACTGATTCATATTTTTCTTGAAGGCTTTGGATGTAGGAGCTTTGGCTTTATTGTCTTCTTCTGGTTGTATGTTTTGATCTTCTTTGTCACCAAAGTAAGATAATATAGTCTGACTCTTTTTGCGCTGCTTACTCATGATCCCGGCCAATTACTTGAGTTTTAAACTCTTTGTTAAGGTAAGAGTCTGCTTCCAATGTGGAGAACATACTGTCCCAAGCTTTGGGGGTTTGTACAGCTGTTTTCAGAGGTACTTCTAGGGACCTGTAGATTTTCAGTTCTTCTAGGGTGCTATGATAAGGGGCAAGGTGTTTTCTTTCCCCTACCACAACAAGCTCCACTGCACCAGCGCTCCTCCTCGCCCCAGGACTGCCCCCTCAGAACTGTGACCCAAATCCAAGCACCGGTAAAGCAAGAGATTCCTGCCTCAGCACTGGCAAAGAGATCCCTATAATCCCCCTCTGATCAGCCACTCGATTCCCCCTCAGTCTGTGGGCCGGGAGCTCAGGAAAAAGCCGCCGCGCTTGAGACTTGCAGCTAAGACCTAGCTCCTCTCTCACTGCAGTCACAGACTTTCCCCACTGACCTTCTAATTTGTCTTTGGCATTCAGGGGTTGAGAAGTCTGGAAACCACCACAGCTGCCCACAGTTCAGTCCTCTGAGGCCTGATGCAGGCTTGCTGCAGCCTGCACGCCCACGCAGTACTGCGCTCCTCTCCCCGCCCGGTGCGATATACCTTTCCGATCAGCCACCCAGGCTGTCTTAGGCAGGAAATTTGTTTCACTCTGTCTTTTTGTGGATTTTGCTGCTTTAGAATTTGTTTAGAGCCATTTTTTTAGGTATTTGGAGGGCTTTGGGAGAGAGCTGAAGACAGTCACTGCTTTCCCTCTGCCATCTTGGCTCTGCCCCGATGATAGATGCAGCTGGTCATTCCTAAGGGTTCTCCCAAGAGATGTGGGGGAGCCGGGGACTGACCCGGGTGTGGTTTAACTTTCAGCGAGCCACGGAGCGGGATGTCAGGAAGGCAAAGATGAAGGAGAGGAAGGACGAGGCCCAGAAGGGGGCGCTGCTTCACGCTGTCCAGGTGGGTGCTCGAGCCGGCTTGCATGGCACCCAGGTGGGGGAGTGCTGAGAGCTTTGTCCTGTCTGTGCTTCAGGGAGGGCCGTGTGCGGGGGTGGGGAGGTGGGAGGGAGAAGGCTTCCAGCAGGAGCTCTGAACCCGGGGCCCTGAACTTATTTTTAAGATATGTTGATCACGGCCTTTCCACATCCTTTGTAACCTGAGGCATTTTGTTCTGTACCTTTCAAAGCTCTCAAAAGGAGCCCCAGACTTGTCCAGCTGCCCCAGGGGGTCTGGCAGACAAGAATGGGGTCAGAGTGCAGAGGCCAGAGGGTCTGAGCCCAAGTCAGGAGGCTGGGAGTTCAGAAGTGGCCTCTGACAAATTATAGCTCCATGCCTGGGGTAGGAGCCCAGGCTACTGCTAAGACCAGTCAGTTACGGACGAGTGGTTGGTCTACACTGGGACAGGCCGTTTCTTCACCGGGAGCTCTCTGAGCTGATAAAATCACAAACCTGTAAGAATTTCAAAAAACAAAACACCGCAGCTGGTGGTGGTTTTTTGGTTCTTGGTAAATGCTAGGGGGCGCCGTGGTGCACAGAGCGGGGGGGGGGGGGGGGGGCCGGGAGTCAGGAAGATTCATGTCCTGAGTTCAAATCTGCCCCCAGACACTTAGTAGCTGTGTGACCCTGGGCAAGTCATTTAACTCTGGGGCAGCTGGGGCGCCAGAGAAGGCTTTGTGTGGAAGGGGAGTCTGGTCCGGCATCCTGAGAGGCGGGAGCGAGGCTGGGCCAGGCCTGGGGACACAGGAAGGTGACTTTAGGGTTTGGTTTGAAAACCAGGCAAGAAACATCCAGTTGGTGTCCCCAGCGGCCGAGGAGGATGAGGAGGAGGAGCCAATGTCCCCCCGCGGGGGCCTGGGCTCCGAGAATGCCATTGGCGCCAGGGTGTCCCTGGATGACCACGGCCGGCTGAGCTGGCCCACACTGTTCCTCTACCCCGAGTATGGCCAGACAGACTTTATCTCAGCTTTTCACGAGGACTCCAGGTAACTTCCGCTCCTTGGGCAGCCCAGCCTGGAAAAGTCGGGGGGTTCGACTTTGGAATGTTGCCTGCCTTCTCTGCCCTTAGAGGCGCGGGGGAGGCCCAGAGCCCCCCCTTCCCTTCCCCATGAGAGCCCTCCCCGACTATAGGAGGGTCAGTGAACTAGGCTGACCCAAAGCTTCCTTGGGACTTACAGATTCATCGACCACTTAATGGTTATGTTTGAGGAGCTGCCTCCCTGGGACCTAGAACGGAAATATCACCCGCATCATCTGGAGGTGAGAGGTTCATGGAGTCCTGCAGGCCCGTGGGCCCACCCACACTTTGTTCTCCAGTGGAGGGAAGCTCCCTTCAGGCAGGGACGTGTCCACTCTGTCTCCCCAAATCTTAGTGCAGCGCCTGGCACCCAGTAGGTGCCTTATCAGGGGTGGCGGGCGTTGCATCCCCAGAGGTTCCATTCTCCCTTCTTTTCCCCCCTTCCCCAGCTCTACTTTGAAGATGAAGACCGGGAGGAGGTGTACCAGGTGAGCCAGGAGAGCACCTTGCTGGAGGCGCTGCAGCATGCCAGGTGAGCACCTTGGGGTGGGAAGGCCCTGCCAAGGAGACCTGCGGGGGCTTCCCTGTAGCGGTGGGAGCAGACAGGAGCCCCTGGCCCTGCCCAGAAAGGAGGGGGGAGACACAGTCCTGGGTGCCAGGGGAGGTTTGTGATTCTCCAGAAAATGACGGCATTCACCAGGGAGGAGAGAGTGAGCCTGTCCTCGGCCAGCTCTAGCGCAGGGAGACCCCGGGGCATCTTCGTCAGACACGCCACAAGAGTCATGATGTCGCAGCCCAGCGGTGCCTGAGCATCCTGTCAGTCAGGAAGCATTTATTAAGTGCCTTCTGTGTGCCTGGCCCTGCTAAGCCCTGCCCCCTCAGGGAGCTTTATCCACGTCCTCCCAGCACGGTGGAGCCTGCCTCAGTTTCTCCGGGTGCCTGCAGGACACCAGGGGAGTGCACTGGCCTCCCCGCCCTCTCTCTCTGGAGACATATCATCCCAGGCCCGTTTTTGATCAGACATTTCTCTGACGCCATCCTTGTCACTGTATTCCTCGTCTGGCTGGGCCTCGGCCTGCTTGTGCCCCCAGCACTCTCCTCTGTACCGTGAAGGGGCTGGACCCAAAGGCCTCTGAGGCCCGTCCAGATCTTTGAGTCTCTGCCTCTGAGTCCCCAGGCTGGAAATCCAGTGCTGCCCCCTCCCTGTGTCCCCGCTGGCGGGGGGGGGGGCGGGGAGGGGAGTCTGTCCCTGGGCATCAGCTCGGAGCACCGTGGCAGAGAGCCTGGGGGGCTTTGGCGGCCTGGGGGCAGCTTCCCTGGGTGCCCCGGGGCCTGCAGCCCTGACGGAGGGGCCCCTGGACACATGATAGGGAGGCTGCTGTCTTGGCCTCAGTGATCGGAGGTTGTCCCCATCCTGCTAATGAACCGGTTGGTGCCAGATCGGCGCTTCCCCCACTTTCATGGACTCATTCATTTACAGGCATTTATTAACCCCAAACACTGTAAAGAAACCGTGCCTGTCCTCGCCTTCCATTCCATTGGGGGCAAGCAGCCAGAGCACCCAGAACGTTCTGGAGAGAAGGGTGGCATTCCGGCCTCAGGGAACCAGAGACCCACCCCTCCCTGGCTGGGTGACCCTGGGCAAGCCCCTGAGCCTCAGTTTTCTTACCTGAAGAATGGGGGCTCAGGGTGTCCATGGGCTCTAGAGTAATGCTCCCAGGGTCTGCAACACGAATTTGGACCAGAGGGCTTCCACAAGCCCTGTGGACTTCAAGCCTCTTTCCCATTGTCCCTCAGGGATCCGGGACCCTCCCCTTCCCCTCTGTAACTCTCCCACCAGGACAAAATGAAGAACCCTCCAGAATCTCATTGGTGACAGGCATCCAGAGGTCATCTGGTCTAACCCAGGCCTGAACAGGAGCCCTTGGGGGCCAGGGAACTCACCACCTGCTACTGTAGCTAAGGCCACGATGGGCCAGCTCAGTGTTGGGTCAAAAGAAATCCAGCCAGGGGGCAGCTAGGTGGTGCAGTGAGTAGAGCATCGGCCCTGGATTCAGGAGGCCCTGAGTTCAAATCCGGCCTTAGACGCATAACACTTACTAGCTGTGTGACCCTGGGCAAGTCACTTAACCCCATTGCCTAGCTCAAAAAAAAGAAATCCAACCAGTACATGCAGACCGAGCAGTGGAGGAAACCAATTCCACACTGACGCACCTGGTGCAAGTGGGCTTTCTCAAAGGCCTAGCACGCTCTCGGGCTGGCAAGGCTGTACTCTCCCCCACTCCCCTACAGGAGGGAGAAAGGCCGGGATGCCAGGCCTGCCCACCGGGCAGACAGAGCCGAGGGCTGGTCACTTACAGGCTGCAGCTCTCAGCAGCAGAAGCAGCCCAGGCCTAGGAGCCGGCAGGGGCGTGGGTTGGGGTCCCGGTTCTGCTGACCAAGGCCACTCCTGAGCATTGGATTTAGTGCTGGGAAAGACCCTGAAGACAGTCCTTCCATTTTGCAGATGTCTGTCCAGGGTACTTAATCCCTAACCCTAACTCCAGGCAGTCAGGATCTGAACCCATACCCTCTGACTCCAAAGCAGGGTTCTGTTTTTAATGCTCTGCCTACTTGATGGAATTGCTGTGAGGAACGGGGGGCGGGGAGCAAAGGGGAAGAACCCCAGGAAGAAGGCTGCTGTGCTTGACCTCAGCAATGTGAGGTTCAAGGTGAAGGATGTTCCTGAGAAGCTGTGGAGCCCCCAGTGTGCCAGGTGCTGTTCTAGGTGCTGAGGATGAGCCCATCCCCACGGTCTAGCGCTTCTATCCTGAGCAGACTCTGATCACAGAGGAGGGGGCACAGGTCAAAGGCTGTCAGCATGGCTCTGAGAATCGGGAGGCATTCCCATGCCTCTGCAGAGGTGGAGGACTAGGGGCGGGGAGCAGTGGCTTCTGTCTTCCCAGGAGGGCCCTGGGGGAATGAGGGAAGCTTAGGTGATGATACCAAAGAAACTGTTAATGAAATCGGGCAGAGTGAGTGATAGGGAGGCGTTGCCTACGCTCTCAGTGCCTTTGGGGGCCATATCACCCCCACAACCTGGGGACACCAGGGGGCGCACTTACTGGCCTCAAGGGTCTCCCCATTGAAGGGAGGGGCTGAGCAGACTTTAAAAAACAACCAGGGAAGGCCCTCCCGGCCTGTGGAATCCGACCCTTTGCCATTCACCTCAAAGGGTTTGGGGAAAGGAGCCCAGACTGACGATGCTGGGAGCTCAAGAGGTTTCCCTGTCATCCTCACAGGTACTTTGTCAAAGCTTGGATGCCGGCTTTTCTGATCTTAGTAAAACAGTCTCCTTTTTGCAAGAATTTCCTCCGGGGCAGAAAAGTACATCGGCTGAAGTGATGGCAGCCCCCCACGATCAAGCCTTGCCCAGCATCGCGCTCAGAGCCCCGGCTCCCAGAGGGCCCGCACACCAGCCTTGACCTGATGAGAGCTGGCAGAAGAGATGGGGCTGCGGGCATCTCGCTGCCCCTGGCTGGCTGGGGCTCATCTCCCCGGCTGCCGTCCAAATCCCTCCCCTTTTGGAGAGACTCTTGGCAGATCACCACTTTAATACAGCGTAATTATTGTTTTTAAAATAATTTTATTACCAACTTAATGACCATCTCCATGAAAACAAAACAATAAAATCCTACTTGAAGCCATAAACCCCGAACTACTTCATTTTGCTAAAAGTAACAAGAATGCTCATAAAGGAACAGAATCATAGCAATGAAATCCTAATGGCACTATGTCCCCTCCTCTCTTCCACGAACCCTCTCTGGGAGCAAAGGGTCCAGTGTGCACTGACCAGGAGCCCTGATTGCGGGCGGCTTTCCTCCCCGAACCCCGAGCCGCCTCTGCTGCCTGAGAGGGCGAGCTTTGCACTCTCCACATTCACACTGACTACTTTACAGCACTTAAATAGACTTCTGCTGCTACCTTGTTTTGACACTGACTGGATTTCCCCCAGTATCTCCCCTTCCTCCTTTCAGGGAGCCAGTCTGTATAATCATATGAGGGCTGTTACACCCATTTTAGAGATGAGCAGACACGCTTTGAGGGGCTGTGACTTAAGGCAGAGGGCTGGAGCTGTTCCTCACCAAGCTGGTGACCTTTGGCCAGTCAGCCTGCCTGGGCCTCAGTTTCCTCCTCTGAACATCAAGGGGATTATCTCATCTGATCCTCAACCCTAGGAGAGAGGTCCTATTATTGTCCCCATTTTACGGATGAGGAAACTGAGGCAAACAAGGGTTGAGGGACTTGCCAAGGGTCACACAGCTAGTAACAGATCAGATTTTAATTCAGGGGTTAACTACAGGTCTGGTGCTCTCCACTGTAATACCTAGCTGGCCCAGGGAACATGGAAGAGGGATGGAAACCTCAGAACACAGGATGTCAGGCTTGGCTTAGGCCTTAGAACAAGGGATGTCAGAGCTGGGAGGGGCTGTAGAACAGAGAGTATCAAGGTTGGGAAAAGCTTTAAAACAAAATGTCAGGGCTGGGAGGGGCCCTAGAACAGGGATGTCAGGGCTGGGAGGGGCCTTAGAACAGGGGATGTCAGGGCTGGGACTCAGAGCCCTAGGGATGCCCTCGGCCCCAGTGGAGGCACAAGGAGCCAGCAGGCATTTGCGAGAGGAATGCTTACAAGTCACTCACACTGGCTGGTTAAGGCATGAAGCCGGCAGCCAGTGGTGCAGGTTGGTAGGAGGTGGACTACTGCTTCTTAAAACAGCCAGGGAGCCACTAGCCCTTTAAGTACCTTCTGGGACACAAGGAACACGTTGGCTGTGGGGCTGCATGGGGAAGGGGCCAACAATGTATCTGTAAAGTGCTTAGCACAATGCCTAGCACATAGTAGGTGCTTAATAAGTGCTCTGTCCTTCCCTCAATAAGCTTAGCAGGCTGAAGAATGCTGTTTGTGCAGCCAGGAAAGGAAGGTGGGAATCTCAGACCACCAATTACTCCTGTCCTTTGAAGAGCGCATGATGCTCTATTTAAAAATAAAATTTAAAAAGTTGCCTCCTGAAGTCGTTAGCTCCTAATTATTTGGCCGTGGCAGCAACCCCAGGCAGGGCCTGACAGCTGCCACCCCTGGACTGAGCTGTACTAGAGGGGAGGTGACACTATGACCCCTTTGTGTTTACAAGAACAGGCCCAGAGGGAGGAAGGGCTCACCCAAGGCAACACCAGCAGACCTAAGTCTTACATTAAAGTTGGCCACAGAGCCCAACCCCCTTTTTTTACAGATGAGGAAACTGAGGCAAACATCAGGCAAGGCTCAGGAGTGTCTGGATGGGGATTTGGCCCAGGTCTTCCTGATTCCAGGTCCAGTGGAGTCAACCCTGTGATGTTGTCCTGTCTTTAAGGTCTGCACACAGTGCGATCATCACTGGGGTTAACAGCAAGACTTCTAGAGGTATGCCATCCGGAGGAAAAGCTTCCATGAACCACTGAGAACTCTGTTACCAGGACTAGGACTGCCCATCATCATCCTTAAGTATTCATTGTGTATGCATCCATTTATCCATTCAACCACCTACCCACCCACCCATTTATCTATCCATCTACTCATCTATTCATCCTTCAACTATCTATCCATCCATCCATCCATCCACCTACCCAACCATTCATCTATCCATTTACTCATCCATCCATCCATTCATCCACTCATCCATCCACTACCCAACCATCCATCTATCCATTTACTCATCTGTCCATCCATTCATCCATCCACTCATCAATCTATCATTTATCTGTCTATTTAATCATCCATTCATCCATTTATCCATCTACCCCTTCATCTCCCTATCCCTTTATTCAGTCTTTCAAGGAGTCATTCTTCCACTCATTTATGCATTGATCTGTGGGTCAGCACCAAAACTCTGGGAAGAAAGTAGACAGGAAACAAGGTTCTGACAACTTCAGCTCAAAAGGTCCTTTCCATGTGACCAGAAGCTGACCTCAGTTTCTAAGAAAAGGCTCTGGACAGCCTTACTGAGATGACAGGATCATAGACACAGAGCTGAAAGGGACCAAATTCCTCATTTTACAGATGAGCAAACTTCATTCATGCACTCACTCACTCACTCATTCACTCATTCATTCATTCATTCACTCACTCACTCATTCATTGCCCAGGGACATATGGCTAGGATGTGAGGGAGGATCTGGGTCCCTTCCTCCTTGTCCCCAAGCCCCCACACTACCCACTGCATCACCTGGCTCAGGTCCCTCCCCGCACTGGCCCGGCCCCACAGGCCAGCCTCTGGTCACAAGGTGGAGAGGTGAGTGGCCATGTGGTAGAGGCTGAAGCCGTTACATGCCAGGCAACCCAGGTTGCAGAGGGAGGAGAGGAGCCAGTAGCGGGTGAGCTGGCTGGACAGCTTCCTGTACTTGGCATTGGACTCGCGCAGCCGCGTGTAGGACTTGCGGGAGAAGAAGCCGATGTCCTGGCCCAGCCCGTAGCTCTGCTCCAGGAGGTGCATGTCGGCCATGATGTCTGAGGTCATCTGGCCGAACCACTGGGCGTTCAGCGCGGACACAATGACGCACACGAAGAAAACAATGAGCTGTGGCGGAGGATGAACCAGTAAGGATGGAGGCGCCAGGACGCAGCCTTCCAGCCCGCTGCTTCTGGCCTCCGACTTTCAGCATTAGCGAGGTTTACCAAGGGCTCCCTGAGATGCCCAGAGACCCCTGGGGGGGTGGCCCACTTGGGCTGGGCCCCGCCCGTCTTCCCTACCTGTGTGGTCTCTTCATCGCTGAGCAGCTCCCTGGGGTGGCACATGGCAAAGATGGTCAGGTTGAAGAAGGAACAGGCGGAGCCGATGTGGAAATAATACGGGAAAAGCCGGCTCTGGATGAAGCCCAGGGTGTGGCGGGTGAGGTTTCCACCCATCACAAAGCCTGCAGAGATGGATTCGGGACAGGGGCAGAGAGCCAGGCAATGAGTTTGTTTTTATATTAACAAGTGGAAATCTGGTTAGGAGAAAAGTCCAGCATGGGGGTTCAAAAAATCAACCTGGAGTGTGTGGGGCAGGGGAGGAATGGAATTCATTCATTCACTCACCCGCTGTGCCAAGCCCTGGGAAAACAAATCTAAAAGGTAAGTCAGTAAGCCTGCCCTCAAGGAGCTTAAATTCTAACAAGGAAAGACAAAACAAAAGAATGGCTGTAGCCTAGAATTCTCTGGCTCCCCACCCCAATACTTCGAATTTTTTAGAAATGTTCATTATTTCAATTAACAAGGAATTATTTTCTCTCCCTCAGGTTAAAAAACAAAAGCAAAAACAGAGCACAACCTTGGAACAAAGACGCATATTCAGACAGATTCCCACCTTGGCAATATCCACACTTTTGGGTTTTCAAAGCCCAGCTGTGCATCCTGTGTGACTTTTGTCTGGGGTCTCCCGGAATCCTCCACAGGGGAACCACTCAAGGACGAGAGGGCTTTTTATCCTTTGTGGGTACTGCTGGGGCCCTTGGCCTGCCCATCCACTACCCATCCATCATCTGTGGTTCTCCCTGACTCTGACCCACTTCCTTTTTCTCCAAAGTAACCCTTGGTATATGTCTGGAGCATAGGCCATCAAAGGAATCATGCCTGCCCGTGCCCACCCTGTGTCTCAGGGATCCCATAGGTCAGAAACTAAGAAACTGTCCCATTCTAAGCCAGTCTAGGGTCTGTATGCTGGGAAACAGCTGGGATCCCTCCCTCCCCCTCACTCACCATCCTCCCTGAAGAGCCCACCCCAGACCTAGATACAGATGGACTAACTCAATGACAGGCCGTCCCACTGCATGCCAGGTCTGAACAGGACGAATTTTTCACTGATGTCTTTGGAATAAATTGGATACCCCTGGGACAGCCTCACTTTGTTGCCTGGTGCAATAGGGTAAGTCGTTCACAAACAGAAGCGGGATCAAGTCTGCCTTCAATACATACTAACTGTGTGACCTTACACAGGTCACCTAACCCCTGACCCTCAGTTTCCTCATCTGTAAAACACAGATAACACATTGTTAGCCAAAAGGGCTTAAGCCTTGCTTCTGTGGGGTCATGGAGGAGTCACAGTCTCTCAGATAACTCTCTAATAGTACAAGTTGCTGAAGCGTCTGTCCTGGTGGGAGGTTTCCTCACAGGGAGTTCCATACACCAGTGAAACCCCAGATGTTTATAAGAAATGTTAATGAATTAAGCCAACAACTTTGCTCTCTTGTGCTTGCCAACGAGATCGACTGATGTTTATTTACATCAGGGCCAGATCTGCCCCTCTGTCCCTGGCTCTGTCCCTGGGCCCAAGTGGAACAATTCTAATCCCTCTTCCATGACATCCCTTCACCCTTAAGGTGGACATCATGCCCTGGCCCCAGATAAACTTCCCTGGTCCATCATCTGATCTTCCTAAGGCATGGTCCCCAGTCACTGCATTATCCCCCTTCCCTGGACTTACTCCAGCTTGTCAAAGGCCCTCCTGAAACAGAAGGACTGACCTGAGCCAAATATTCCACATGTGGTCTGCCTAGGGCAGCCTGACTGTCACCTTTCTCATCCTTAAAATGCACAAAGTCAGAGCTGGAAGGGCCCCGATACAGCCTAGTCCAGGGGTCCTCAACCTGGGGTCTGGGATTATTTGTTGTTTTTTTTAACTACTTGGATAAGTGTATTTCACTACAATTGGTTTCCTCTGTAATGCTAAGTATTTTATGTTATGCGTTTAAAACATGATTCTGAGAAAGAAGTCCATAAGCTTTACCAGCCTGGCTGCCCAAGGGGTCCAGGACTGAGGCTTACTATCCACGTGGCCTCCCCTGAGCGAGAATGTGAGAGGTCACTAGAAACATTGGAGAGATGTTTCTGATGAAAGGCAGGGTCAGAAACAGAGTTGCAAGGCACTGAGAAATGAGCAGATGGTGAGGAAGGAAAGGCACTGAGTGGAGATATCCTAGGGTTGTAACAGTAAAAGGGAGGAGAGAGAGAGAAGGGACCGCTGGGGGGGACTGTTGGGTTAAAGATGGGGAGTCACGGACGTGTCTACAAGAAACAGGAAAGGAAGCAGACATATTCATTAAAAAAATCATAAAAATTAGGTATAAATGTGATATAAGTTAGATGGGGGATCTGCTAGGGACAAGACTGAGAGTGCAAATAGGAGGAGTGTCCCCCCGCTAGAAAGATACCTCATCCTCCAGACTGGAGCCAAGGACAGGAAGGCGTGATTGTAGACTGACTTCGAATGGGGAGCTGGTGCTCCAGACTCAGAGTGTCAGTTTTTTCAGGGTCCTCTGCTGAGAGGGAGAGAAGAGGGGGATACAGCGGTGGGAGGAGAAAGAAGGGAGGAGTCACTGTGGGGAGCACCACAGGAAGGATGAGGAGGGGGATTTCAGAGTTCTGACTCATGGTAGAAGACGGTGATTTGGGATGTTGAGATCTAAGGGGAGGGAGCTTCCCTAGAGATGGCTACAGGTGAGATTTGGAGGACCAGGGTGCTCAAGGGGAGGTTGGTCTGAAGTCCTCAGGGAGGACAGATGGGTTGGGCTGGAGAAAAAGTCTGTGAGCCAGGAAAGGAGCCCATCCCATGCCTGAAGGAGCCGCCAGACCCGGAGGGGGTATCCAGGCTCCGGAAGGAGCCAATTCTCCCTGACCTCCAGATGAGGGGAAGAGGGCCAAAAGAAGATGACTGGAAGTTCGTTTCTTGTCTGAGGTAGGTGACAGCCCTTATTTCTAAAGAAAATATATAGGATGCCAAGGAACCCAGGAGTTGGTGACCAGAATGGAATCATTAACCACTCCTAAACCCACTGGACTCCCTGTGCCCAAAAGTACCTTCCCCAAGCGCCTTACATGTGCACTGTGCAAGCAACTGGGGAGTCTGAATGACTGAGGGGACTCCAGGCGGCACAAATGAATGGGGAGATAGAGAAGAAAAGGGACCAGAAAATGGCGGACTCGGGCTGGAAGAGGAATGGCAGAGAACGTAGTGGATAGAGCATGGGACCTGAGATTGAAACCTGCTTCGGACACTTACTAGCTGTGTGACTCTGGCCAACTCACTTAACTGCTCCCAGCCTCAGTTTTCTCATCTGTAAAATGGGGATAATAAAGCACATACCTCCCAGGGTTGTGAGGGTCAAATGTAAAAGCACTACATAAATACGAGCTAGTATTATTGTTGTTATCAGGTGCTTACCACAGCCTGCCTGACCCTGCCAGTTACATAATTGTCTTTGTCTCACTTCCCTGACCCCACCCCTAGACTTAATGTCCCCAAGAGCTGGGCTAGGTCTTATTCATGTGAGCACATGCTATATTCAATCTCTGTAGGATGGATCTTCAGCAACAGAATGTAAGCTCCTTGAGGGCAGGGCCTGTCTCGTTTTCGTCTGTGTATCCTCTGTGCTTCTAGGACAGTGCCTGGCACACGGCAGGTGTTTAATACATGCCTGATGAACTGAATCTCTGCATCCCCCACTGAGGCCAAACGCAGAAGGGGATGGGTAAAAGTCTACCACAATGACCCAGATAAAATCCTCCCCTGAGACGCACCTGAAATGAAGGTCACCCAAATCTGCATCCCCCAGAAGGTCGAGAGGAAGATAAGGTGGAGGGTCTTGGCAAGAACAGAGGGTTCCACATCTGTTGGCATCGTGGGCTGCAGGGGCCTGGGGCCGGGGATCTGGTTTAGACAAACAAAGACAGTAACTCAGTCATGCACACGATTCAGCAAACAGGTATTAGGAAGCAGCCTGGTACAGTGGGAAGGACACTGGTTCTGGAGCAGGAGGAGCAGAATTCAAATCCTGACACTGGCACTGTCTTGATGACCTTGGGCAAGTCACTTCACCTTTCTAGGCTTCGGCATCCTCATCTACAATAATAATAATAATAATAGTGACAACAGCTAACATTTATATAGCACCTTAAGGCTGACAAAGCATTGTACATATAGTATCCAGGTGAATCCTCACAAACCACTCAGTCAGGTGGTGGTGGTAGTAGTTGTTAAGACGTTTTTCAGTTGTGTCCGTCTCTCTGTGACCCTTTTGAGTTTTCTTGACAGAGATACTGGAGTGGTTTGTCATTTGCTTCTCCAGCTCACAGATAAGGAAACTGAAGCAAATAGGGTGAAGTGACTTGCCCAGGGTCACACAGCTAGAAAGAGTCTGAGGCCAGATTTGAGCTCAGGGAGATGAGTCTTCCTGACTTCAGGCCCAGCACTCTATCCACTGTGCCACCTGGCTGCCCCTACTCCATTCCGATTAACTTCCCCATTTGATAGAAAATAAAAGTCTAACTCCAACACCCATCCTTAAAAAATCCTAACTTGATTTATCCATCCCAACTAGCTATCATCCTCCCTCTCTCTGTCTCTTCCCTTTTGTGGGTAGGCTCTCCAAGAAGGCCATCTACACTCAGTGCTTTCACTGCCTTTCCTTTCATTCCCTTCTAAATCCTCTTCAGTCTGGCTTCCAATCTCATCATTCAACCGAAATTACCCTCTCCAAATTTCCCCAGAATGGCTGAATGGCCAAATCCAAAGGCCTTTTCTCAGTCCTCCTTCTCCTTGACCCCTCTGCAGCCTCTGACACTTAATCCCCTTCTTCCTCTCTCTTTCTTCTAGGTCTCTGTACTCTGTGCCATGCAGTTCTCCTACCTGCTGGAGGACTCCTTGGGTTCCTGTGCTGGATCTTAATCCAAGTCAAACCCCCTGACCACATTCACTAACTGAGCACTCTTTTCTTTTACACTACCTCCCTTGGTGTTCTCATCAACTCATATGGACTCCTGACCATCTTGATGCAAATTAATCAGTCAATAAACATTTATTAAGCACCTACTATGTGCTGGACACGATGCCCCTGCCCTCAAGGATCTTACAATCTAATGGGGAAGACAACTTGATTCTCCCATCTGTTTCTCCAGACCTAACCTCCCTCCTTGACCTCCACTTTCCCAACTCCAACTCTCCATTGGGCATCTCGAAGTAGATGTCCAGCAGGCACCTTACACTCGTGTCCATAACTGAACTGTTATCCTTCACCCTCAAACCCTCCCCTCTTCTAAATTTCCATGTTAGGAATAAGCACGCCACCGTCCTCCCAGGACCCCAGGGTTTGTGATTCTACTTTCATCACTCTCCTGAATTCGCCTCCTCCCTTCCTGATTGCCCCCACCCTGGTGGGGATCCTCATCCCTGGATTACTATGTTAGCTGCTGGGGGGAGGGAAGGGAGGGATCTGCCTCAAGTCTCTCCCCCCTCCAGCCCTTCCTCCACTCAAAGCCCTTTACAAGGTGGACCCCAGTTTGTTTAACCCCTTGCTCGCCCTCACACTGGCCTCCCTGCTGTTACTTGGACAAGACCCTCCCTCTCTGGACTTCAGGCTTCTTTCCCTTCTCATCTCTGCCTCCTGGCTCCCCCACCTTCCTTCAAGTCCCATCTTCTTCAAGAAGCCCCTCCTGGTCCTCTTCAGTGCCAGGGCCTTCTCTCTGAGCCTCTGCTCCTCTGTCCTGGCTGTTGTCTCTTCCTAGTTAGACCGTGAGCTCATTGAGGGCAGGAACTGGTTTTAACCTTTCTTTGTAAGGCCAACACCAAGCACAGCGCCCTGCACATAGTAGGGGCTTATACATTCTAACAGTGAAGATGATGGTGATCAAGGTTTGTTGATTGACCTTAGAAGAGAAAATGACAAAGCTGAGAAGGGTCTTAGAGCAATTAATGCAGGCTGACAGAGCAGGAAAGAAACCTGTGGGAAACTGAGTCATTTTAGACGGGAGTAAATGGACAGAAGATGAGGGACGGAAATAGACACACAGAAGGGGAGGGAGAGACGAAGGCAGGGAAGGCGGAGGGGGAGGGAAGGGGAGAAAAGAGGAGGGAAGGAGGGAGAGGGAAAGACGGAAAGCAGAGGGGGAAGGAGGAAGGGGGAGGGGGGGTGGGAGGGGAGAGGGAGAATGGAGGGGGGAGGGAAGCCTGGGGAGGAGGAGGTGCCTCTCCGATTTCCTAAGTGCGCCTCGCCCCTCCCCGCCCCCCCCCCGCTCCCATTTGGGCCTGCCCACGTTTGGGGTCCCGCAAAACTGGGGTGCGGACCCCCCTCTCCCCAGCTCAGCCCCAGCTGCCCCGGGGCCCCCTGGGCGGGGTCTCCGAAGCCAAGCTCCTCCACACCCCCACACGCCCACGCCACGCCACGGCGAGCCCCGATGGCCTTTACCTGGGTTCTCCTTCACTCCGATCGTGGCCTGGGGCTGCCCGGGCGCGGGTGGTCCCGCAGGGACCAGGCACTCGTGGGCGCGGGGGCGGAGCGAGGTGGGGCGGGGCGGGGCGGCCACTCGGCGCCGCGCTCTTCCTGGCCCCCCCCCCCACCCTTGACCCAGGCCTCGGGACGTCCCTGCCCCCCACCCCAGCCCCGGCACCCTTGGAGGACCCGGGAAGGCTGGAGCTTGGGTCCGATTGTCCCCACGGGGCCTCCTGCGTGACCCTGGAGCACTTCCCGAAACACGCTCGCGCGTCGGTGTTCGTGGGTGCCCACCAAACCGCAGGGGCCTGCTGTCAGTAAACGAGCAGTTAGTAAGCGCCTGCTGTGTGCCAGGCCCCGTGCGCAACTCGTAGGTTACCGAGGGAGGGGCGGGGGCAGGCCCTCCAGGGGGCCCCAGTCTCAGGGCACCCCCTGGGTACCCTCAGCGGGGGGCAGGCACCGACCAGCATGAAGAAGCTGGGGAAGGCTCCTGCGGGAGGGGCGACTTCGGTGGTGCAGGGACCCCTCGGCTTCGCCATCTCCCCATACCAGCTGGTGACCAGGACAAGGAGGGTGCCAGCGCCCACCCCCCGGGGTTCAGGGGAGGCCCAGCCTTCCGAGCTCGAACGTGCAAACAGCCGGCAGAGGCTACTGCAAGCGAGCCGGCCTCCCCACAGAGCTCGCACCCCCAAGGAGGGACAGCTGACACGTGTCACCTCCTCCAGGACTCTGCTGAACACAGCTGGGGGTCCACGAGCGTCCTGGGGGAGCTGGGACCCGGCAGCCGGCCTTAGGCCCACGCCTGAGGGGAGAACAGCCGAGAGTCCCCACTGGGAGCAGGACTGTGAGCTTCCTCTGGTTCAGGAGACCAGCCACGGCTTCCCTGGAGGTCACTGGGGACAAGGAAACAATGTATCAGCACTATTAGTGTATCACTTTACAAGTGGAGAGCAGCCCTGCTGGGGGCTCGGGGCTTCTTGTTCTAAAGGTTGCGCTCCTGATTTACCGAACCCAGCTTCTGCATCTGAAAAAGGGAGTACAGGGGGGCAAACTGAAGGCCCCTTCACATTGGCTGGACCTCTGGCCACATCTAGGGGGCCCCATCTGTTCTGAAGGGTTTGGCACTTGGAGAGCAAATCCTAGGTGGTCCCTTGGTCCCAGGGGGGCGGGAGGGGTTCCTCAGAGTGATATCAGAGAGGGTAGGCCATGGAACCAAGAATACAGCCTCCCATGAAATAGTTTTTATTTTTACCCTCTGGTTCTAGAACCTCAGGGCAGTTTTCCTTTATGATTTCCTGCAAGATACTATCCAGGCTCTTTTTTTCATCATGATTTTCAGGTAGACCAATAATTTTTAAATTGTCTTTCCTGGATTGATTTTCCAGGTCAGTTGTTTTACCAATGAAGTATTTTATATTTTCATCTATTTTTTCATTCTTTTGTTTTTATTTGACTGATTCTTGCTCTCTCATAGAGTCATTAGCTTCCGTTTGCTCAATTCTAATTTTTAACAAATTGTTTTCGTCTATTAGATTTTGCACCTCCTTCCCCATTTGGCCAATTGTATTTTTTAAGGACTTGTTTTCTACAGTTAATTTTTCTCCTTCCTTTTGCAAGCTATTGACTCTCTCTTGCATACCTCTTTTTTCCCATTTTTTCTTCTACCTCTCATTTTACTTTTTTTTTTTTTTGTTAGGCAATGGGGTTAAGTGACTTGCCCAGGGTCACAGAGCTAGTAAGTGTTATGTGTCTGAGGCCGGATTTCATTTGACTTTTAAAACCCTTCTTGAGCTCTTCTAAGAAGGCTTTTTGGGCTTCAGACTAGTTCATATTCCCTTTGAGGTTCCAGATGTGGGTTTGTTGACAATGTTGTCCTCTTCAGAATTTCTGCCTTGATCTTCACTCTTTCCATAATAAGAATCTATCATTGTTTCTTTTTGCTCATGGTGTTTGTTTATTTCCTGGCCTTCAAAGAGACTGGGCTCTCCTCCTGGGGAGCAGAGGGCACTGACTTAAGCTTCTTGTGTTGGGAGTCTAGGGCCTGGTCACTGGCTTTGTGTGCTGGGGCCTCCGATGTTGGCAGTTGGAGGCTGTCGGATTCTGGCAGCTTACCTGGTATTGGGCTGGAAACTGCAATACTGGAACTCTAAGGGTAGGATTGGGTAGTGTGGCTCCCGCAGATTTCCTGCTCACCTGGGCCTTTCCTTCCTTTTGCTTTCTTCAGCTCCTTTCAAGGATGTTGTAGGGTGTTTATCCACCTGGGGCCTCCGTTGCTTCTCTTATTTTTGCTGAGGCACTGGGAGAGCCGGTTACTGTAGAATGCTGAGGCACCTGGTGGTTTTCCAAGCTGGTTTCCACCGGGGTTCCCCCCACCCTCACTGAGACACTGGGGGTCCAGGTGTTGGTGTTTGCCTGCTCTACCACCAGAGTTTCAGGATCTCCTCCTGGTATGCTTTCTGTGGGGCTTTCTGCTAGCTTGCTGGGAGGCCTCCCGTTCTGTACTGCTCCCCTTCCCCCAGGACAAGAGAGGCCTTTCCAGTTAACCCCCCAAGCTACCTGGGCTACTGGACTGCTGCACCACATCCTTCTTCTGGTTCAGCCATTCCAGGGTTTTTCTTGGGGTGATATTTTCTGGGCTTTCACGAAATATTTTTTTTTAAAAGAAGAGACTCTACCCTTTGGCTTTCTCTTCCTTCCTCTGGTCCAAGAGACAGATTCTCTCTCTCTCCTTTTCTCTATTTCTCTTTTCCCTCTTTCTCCCTTTCTGTCTGTCATTTCCTGTGACTGGTGATAGAAGGCCACCCTCCTGCTTCCACAGGAGTGGCCTACAGTGAGAGCTAGAGCTGGTGTTTGGCTGGGAGGGCTGAGCCTGGGCCTCAAAAGCCTGGCTACCTTTCCCCCTTTGTGCTTCTTTCCCTGAGCAGGTGGCTGAGTGGCAATCCTGACATGGGCGTCTCTGGCCATGGAGGGAGCCTGCTCATGGGTCGCCTGGCATGGCACCTCTGTAGTATTTTTTGGAGGAGAAGATGACCACTAAAATCAGGAAGAGCCCTGGCCAGCCTGACTAGGCAGAAGACCTTGAAGGAGGCCACAGAGGACTGAGGGCAAGGGAAAAAGCTCCCTCTTATGGTGGGATGTTTTAAGAATCAGCCCCCAAGCAGGGAATCACAGTCATTAGGCTGCTACTGCTTGCTCTCTTGGGCATTGTGCACTTGTGAGGGGTGTGTGTGTGTGTGTGTGTGTGTGTGTGTGTGTGTGTGATACTCTGGAAAGCACTCCAGAAGGAAAGAAATAGCTTCCTATGAATGAGTGAATGAATGAATGATTTAAAATTTTATTAAACACTCTGTGCCAAGCCCTATGCTAAGCACTAGCAATACAAATAGAAGGTGCACAACAGGACTTGTGCTTAAGTATCACACCCTCTAATTAGAAACAATACCAAGTGTGAGGCAGTTTAGCTGCAGGGCCAATGGAGAGGCTCCCACTCACCAGTCCTAAGGGTATATCACAGGGGTATGTGGCATGGCCCAGAGGTCTGGACAGCAGATGGTTAGGCCTAGGGGACCATAGGAGGCAGGGACAGACCAGATGAAGTCCTGAAGAGTTGTAGCTGGTGACTTCCAGCTCAGGCAGTGGTTGGAGCAGCCACCATCTTGTTCTTCCTGCCCAGAATAGGACCAAGGTCAAGGAAGAGGAGGAATGAGGGAATTGATAACCTTTTCACTCCCTCTTGTTGGGGAAGCCTTAGACATGAACCAAAGCTAATATTTAAATGATTTCCCCAAAGGTCTGGGGTCTACAGAACCACCGAGTGTGTACAAAAGGGCCTGACCCCTCCCCTTGGAGGTCAGGCTTCATCAGGACTGAACTGGGGTCCACAATCTAGAGCTAAAGACCCCTTAATGGGAGGAGAGGATGTGCCTGCAGCAATGGTTTGATTCTGTGTCATTGGAGGCCGGTAGTGAACTAGAAACAATGAGAAGATGTCGCATACTGGCAGATTTAGGCTGCATGCAAGGAAAAAGTGACAATATTAAAGAGAAACTGGAGAGGATATAATTTTATCGAGAACAAAGACTGCTTCATTTCTACCTTGGAATCACCAGTGCCTGGCCCAGGGGAGGTACTTCAGAAATGTTTCTTGAATGAATAGTGGGCACTTTATCAATGCTAGCTGATTGGTTGATTGATGAGCTCCCGAGGAAAATTATTCCAAAGTAGAATGTCCTGTGGCTTCCCCCTCCAGGGATTCTTAGCAGAGGGTGAATGAATGCCCACTCATCCTGTGGGTGGCACGGCAGAGAGCATGCCAGCCTTCATATCAGGAAGACAAAGGTTCAAATCCTGGCCCTGACAATTACCAACTCTGTAACCCTGGGCAAACCAGGAGTTCATCTGTAAAATGGGGATACTATT